AAAAATCAAGACCATCATAACACTGGCTACAAAAAGTGTCTGTGGAAGTAAATTTAACCAAGACACTGAAAGATGTCTACATTAAGAGCCAAAGAACACTGAGGTAAGAAATTAAAGGTTGGGCCACAGTTGCTCACGCCTGTAATTTCAGCATTTTGGGAGGCTAAGGCAGGAGGATCACTAGAACCCAGAGTTCAAGACTAGCCTGGGCAACAGAGAGATCTCATCTGTACAAAATTTTAAAAGTTAGCCAGGCATGGTGGTGTGCAGCTGAGGTCCCAGCTACTCAGAAGGCTGAGGTGGGAGGATTGCTTGAGCCTGACAGAGCAAGACCCTTTCTGAAATAAAGAAATTAAGTGACACACAAATAGAAAGATATTCTTTATTCACAAATTGGTGGAATTAATATTTTTAAAATGTCTATATTACACAAAGTGATCTACAGGTTTAATACAATCTCTATCAAGATACCAATTACATTCTTCACATACAAAAGGAATCCCCCAATTCATCTGGTAACACACAAAAAAACAAAAAGATCCTCAATAGTCAAAATAATTGAGAAAAAACAAGCAAAGCTGAAGGCATCACAGAACCTGCCTTTGAAATATATTACAAAGCCATAATAAGTAAAACTTTATGATACTGGTATAAAAACAGACACATAGGCCAAAAGAGCAGAATAGAGAGCCTAGAAATAAATCCACACATTTACAGCTAACTGATTTTAGACAACGGCGACAAGAACATAAGATGGTTAAAGAATAGTCTCTTCAATACTTGGCGTTGGGGAAAAAATGGACATCTACATGCAAAAATGAGAAATAAGGCCTTCATCTCACACCACATGTAAGAAACAACTCAAAAGGAGGACTTAAATGTAATAGCTGAAAGTCTGAAACTACTACAAGACAACATAAGGTAAAAGAAAATATGATATTGGTTTGGGCAATTATTTTTTGAATTTAACCTCAAAATGCCAGGAAACATAAGTAAATGTAAACAAATGAGATTACTTCAAACTAAAAAACTTCTGCACAGGACCACATACAATCAATGGAATGATAACCTAGGAAGGGGGGAAACATTTTTAAACTATGAATCTGACAGGGGGTTAATATTTAAGAGACAAAAATGAGGGGAAACTTAAATAGGCATTTCTCAAAAGACATACATCATATAACAAATAAATCTGAAAATGCTGAGCATCAATAATTATCCAGGAAAGGCAGCTCAGAGCCACCGTGAGTTATTAACTCATTCCTTCTAGAATGACAATTAACAAAAAGGCAAAAGATACCAAGCGTGGATAAAGCTGTAAGAAAGAGAAGGCTTGCACACTGTTGGTGGAATGGACATCATACAGCCATTCCGGAAAACAGAATGAAGCTTTCAAAAACATTAAAAATGGAACGACTGCTTGTTACAGCAATCACCGCACTGGTGATCTAGATATCTGAATGGCATCAGTGTGCTGAAGAGACATTCGCACGCCCATGTTGACTGTGGCACTATTTACTACAGCCATGATATAAAATCACCCCAACTGTACTCGAATCATGAACCCTGTGGCTAATCCTGCCATTTCCAATCACATGGATGAACCTGAAACACATGATGTTAATTTACAGAAACCAAGCACAGAAAGAAATATACCACATGCTGTCTCTCATAGGTGACATGTAAACAAGTTCACCTGTTGAAGTGGAGTAGAATTACGGTTACCAGAGGTGGGTTTTTTTGTAGGAGGGCAGACGGTTTGGGCAGATGACGGTCGAATAAGACATAATTATAGTGAGACAGGAATGAATTTAAGAGACCTATTGTACAGCATGCTGACTATACTTAATTAGGATATATTGTGTTTCTCAAATGTGAAGGGTCCAGTGTTTAGTTCTCACCACATGACTACATGAGGTAAGGTATACAGTAACTAAAGCATTTGACACATACATACTTTAAAACCTATTTTACATGATACAAATACTTTTATGTCAATTAAAATAAACATTATAAAATGCTAGCAATGTTCCAAATATTGAATCTCCTTCTTAGTCATAAGCTTAGCTAAACAGTATTAAAAAGTAGTATTTGTTAAGTTTTTTTTTTTTTTTCTGAGATAGGGTCTTGGTCTCATGCCCAAGCTGGAGTGCACTGGTGCGATTTCGGCTCACTGTGCCTCCGTCTCCTGAGATCACGTGATTCTCATGCCTCGGCCTCTGGAATCGCTGGAATTACAGGCGCACAACACCATGTTCAGCTAATTTTTCTTTTTTAGTAGAGATGTGGTTACACCATGTTGGTGAGGCTGGTCTCGAACTCCTGACCTCAAGTGATTCGTCGACCTCAGACTACCAAAGTGCTGAGATTACAAGCATGAGCCATCGCGCCTGGCCTTGTAAAGTGTTTGTTCTACCATTTGCCAGCCATAAGCATAGAAACTCTTGTTATTTTTACAGCACATGCAGGACCCAGCACAGAACACAGGAAAGAACAGGTGCCTTTAACCCAAAGGCTCCTAGGGTTTCTGGTCCTCATGTGACAGAATGTAAAACAGTAAAGACACAGGTGGGATTAACAGTCCCAGCACTAGCTACGCTGGGAACGCAGAAAACAGATTTACATTCCAAATCACAGCGAAATATTCACATTCAGAAGCTGTCATGTCCTCAGAGATTTATCTACAAAGAATGGCCAACAAGTTACAACCAGTTAGTAACTAAGAATGAGGACTATGAACTGTGGACTACACAGATTACAACACAGGAAAATATTATGACATGAAACTGAAAAATTCTCCATGATTCCAGTATCAATCTGGAAAGATCATTCAACATTTTATTTTTGAGACAGTCTTGCTCTGTTGCCCAGGCTGGAGTGCAGCGGTGCTATCTCAGCTCAGTGCAACCTCCACCTCCCAGGTTCAAGCGATTCTCCTGCCTCACCTTTATAGTGCTTACCACATACACCTACTGGTATTAACAACTTTTTTTTTTTTTTTTTTGAGACAGAGTCTTGCTCTGTCGCCAGGCACCAGGCTGGAGTGCAGTGGCGCGGTCTTGGCTCACTGCAACCTCTGTCTCCCAGATTCAAGCAATTCTCCTGCCTCGGCCTCCCAAGTGGCTGGGACTACAGGTGCGTGCCACCACGCCCAGCTAATTTTTGTATTTTTTAGTAGAGACAGGGTTTCACCATGTTGGCCAGGATGGTCTTGATCTCTTGACCTCGTGATCCGCCAAATACCATCTACCTTTTACAAATAAATGCAGACAATGCTGCCTGATCACATCTTCTGGCTGGCAGACAGTGCACACCTCTTGTCCCAATTAAGTGATCCAAATGTTGTATTCATAGCCATAAATGGCCTCAAACACTCCAGTTAAGAGTAATTTCTCACATTAGAAAATTCCAAACTTCTCTCAGAACCTGCAAAGACTATGTGGCATGACAGGCAGGGAAAACAGTGAGAAAGTTATAGCCGTAAGACAGGCAGCGAGGACTGTGATGCAAAGCACACTTAGCATGGACAAAAAGAGGCAGCAGAAAACTGCAGACTGTTAGAAAAGCAAGCAGGCAGAATTCTGCTTCATAAGCTTGGAGAAAGCCTGTTGCGTATCCTGGGAATAGATGTCCTCTCTACACATGCAAATTAATACCATTTCTTCACCATGGATGCTTTCAGTCTCCAAGCTGGAGACACAAACGCACTTCAGCAGAATGATTCACTCCTAATCATGAAGTGTGTTATTCGCCTAGCACTGTACTTGTTTACTTCATTTATATATTAAGACAACCCAATAACTTATTTCGCATCCCCAGTGTTTACCTGAACAAACTGGCCCAATAAAGGAAATAAACTCAACTATGTCAATTAGAAAAAGCAAAAGAACAAAGAAAAACTGGCTTAAATTGGGTTCTCTAATTGAAAGAAAAAAGTACTAATTAAATGAAATGTAACAATACACTCATTGTGAAGCTACTCACATCTGCGATTATTTGGGAAGCACCACAAAGTTTTATGGAAATTCTTCTTCGCTCCCCTGGCAGGTGATGGAAATAATGCTGCGTGAACAATGGGATGGGAACATTATATGGCAGGTCCACATGAATAACAGGCAGTAAAAACAGAGGATTTGCATGAGGAGACTCTGGACCAGGAGCCAGAATACTTTACAGAAATCCAATACAGAGGAGACAATATAGATGTCTTTCTACATCTTTGAGGTTTATAACTTTCTCGTAAACTATCAAGACTATTGTTTTAATCCCATCTTATTTTGTGTTTATCTTCAAAAATTGGTACACACTCACTCTTACACACACAGTTACCTGCTCAATAATTTTCTTAAACCTAAAATTTATCTTTTTTTTTTTTTTTTTTTTTTTTGAGACAACAGCACACTTTGCTGCCCTGGCTGGAGTGCAGTGGTGTGATCACAGCTCACTGCGGCCTTCATCTCCCAGGCTCACACGGTCCCTCCACCTCAGCCTCCTGAGTAGCTGGAACTGAAAGTGTGCATCACCACTCCCAGCTGATTTTTTAAAAATCTAGAGTAGAAACAAGGTCTTGGTAAGCTGCCCAGGTGGGTCCCAAACTTTTCAGCTCAAGTGATCCTCCCAGATGGCCTCCCAAAGTGCTGGGATTACAGACATGAGCCACCATGCCCAGGGCAGTTTGTCTTTATAGTAATATAGTTGTATATTTAAGTCCATGCAAATCAAAACTAAATCTATGTGTTTTGCAGGCCACAGAAGCTGTACATCCAACAAAAACTATAGAAAAAAAATTTTTTAAGAATGAGAAATATATGTTATTTTATTTATACTCCTCTATAATCTTTATGATAGCAATAATAGTGACTCTGTAGTTACAAAAAGAGGGAAAGAATTTTTTTTTTAAATCACTGGGAATAGAGATCACTGGAGATGTTATCCACCATGCCACTTGGGAGTATACTGTTACCGTCTGTTACCGACACCTTTGAGTATGATGGAATTGGTTTTTGGTAGAATGACACTTTATTCCATGAACATCAGGCTTAACACAATTGTGTTTAATTAAAAACAAATTAACTTCGCACAGAATCTTAAAAAGGACTTCAAAATTTATGGTATGTTGCCTTAATGAAATATGGGTAAAACTATTTACAAAATTCAAAATAGTTCCTTCTTCCTATAGTGCAGAAGGGTATTACTCTAAACAGCTATCTCATAAATCACTTACAAGTATATAAAACCACCACAAAGACCCTCTCTACCAAGATTTTACGCACGCATCTTACATTTCAGTGTCTTTCACCTTTCATGGACAAGTATATCAACCGTGCACGCCTGCCACAAAAGGACTTGGGCATGTGTTTTCACACCAGCACTAGAAATGAAGACAGCATCAAGTGATGAGTTGAATAACATCAATATTCGCTTTTCAAAAAATTTAACGCTTTTTCAATCCAAAAAAGTGTATTTTGAATGTAATTAAAACTACAAAAATTGTCTCACCCTCCTTTTAAATATAAACGACGGGTCTATTTCAAGTCTACATTGCTCTGTAGACATGATGCTGTGATTCAGTGTCATTTCTGAAAGTGCGGTGCCCTATTACTTTCTCTTTCTAATCCTCCAATGTTTACTTAAATTTGATTTTGCTTATTTTTCCCATTAACTGCATTTGAAAAATATCTTTTAGTATGAACTCTGTTTTCTAAGCTATCGTTTTTGAATATTATTCCACATTTATGACATTTGTAGGGCTTCTCTACAAATTCTCTTAAAGTTTAATCAACTAATGCAAGGTTTCCATCTAGCATAAAATATAATTATAACTTTTCTTTCAGAAGAAATACTTGTGCGTGCTCTGGAGACTTGTATTTCATGAAAGGGCTTTCAACAGTCATTACATTTATAATAACTTTATTAAGTTATTAAGAAATTATTATTAAAAACTCTGATGTAAAGATGTGACCAGATCCTAAAGGCTTTGCATATTTTTAAATATTTTTTCTCAGGTATGAATGCTTTCATGTACAGTCAGGTGTGAGAACTGGGTAAAGGCTTTGCCACATTTTTCACACTTGTAGGGTTTCTCTCCAGTATGAATTCTCTTATGTACAATGAGGTTGGAGGACTGGGTAAAGTTCTTTCCACATTCTTGACATTTGTAGGGTTTCTCTCCAGTATGCGTTTTCTTGTGTTTGGTAATGTCTGAGAACCACATAAAGACTTTGCCACATTCTTCACATTTGTAGGGTTTCTCTCCAGTATGAATTCTCTGATGTACAATAAGGTTGGAGGACTGGGTGAAGTTTTTTCCACATTCTTCACATCTGTAGGGTTTCTCTCCAGTATGGGTTTTCTTATGTTTAGTGAGGTCTGATGACTGCTTAAAGATGTTGCCACATTCTTCACACGTGTAGGGTTTTTCTTCAGAATGAGTTCTCTTATGATTAGACAGGCTGGAGCAAGTTCTGAAGACTTTCCCACATTCTTCACATTGGTAGGGCTTCTCTCCAGTGTGAATCCTCCTGTGTTCACTGAGGTGTGAGGACTGGGTGTAGGCTTTGCCACATTCCTCACACTTGTATGGTTTCTCACCAGTGTGAATTCTCTTATGTTTAGTAAGGTCTGAGAACCACCTGAAGATGCTGTCACATTCCTCACATTTGAAAGGTTTCCCTCCAATCTCATTTCTCTGATGTTTGGAAAGATTTGGGTTGTGGTTAAAAGCTTTGTACCATGTTTCACATTTGGAGAGTTTCTCTCCAGCAAGAAGCATCTGCTGATTAGAAAGGCTGGAGCAGGAGATAAAAACAGTGCTGTATTCTTCATACTTGTAGGGTTTCCCCTCAGGACCACGCTCATGTTCAGTCAGGTGGGAGCACTGGTTAAATACTTTGCCAAATTCTTGACATGTGTAATGTTCCCCTCCAGTGTAAATTCTGTTTTTAGTAAGGACTGAGCAAGGTTTAACAACTTCATCACAATCTTTACACGTGTAAGGTTTCTCTCCAGTGTCAGTGTTCTCATGTCCTATAAAGTGTGAGCACTGGTTAAAGGTTTTGCCACATTCTCTACATTTTTGGAACTTTCTTCCAGTGTGAATTTTCTGATGTTCAGTTAGGAATGAGAACATTTCAAACGATTTGCCACATTCTTGACATTTGAAAGGTTTCTGTCCAGTACGAGTTATATTGTATCTATGTAAATTTGAAAAATTATTAAAGATTTTAACACACTGATTACATTCAAAGATGTTGCTATGGGTAGTTGACGAACACTGGTTAAGTCCATTATAATGTTTTTGCAACTTACACTCATCTAAATTTCCCCAGTCTTTCCTTAAATGTAAATTATCAAGGCCACAATTTCCATATGCTTCCAGTATTGATTTTGGGAATGCATCTTGTATGCTCTGCTCTGGCAGAAGGTCTTGGGTAAAATGAGAGGACATAGCTGAAATAAATAAATAAATAAGTTACCCCACTTACTAGACACAGATGAAGACACTTTATCAGTCTAATCTATAAAATAATACTGAGTATATTAGCAAAATGGCACAAAACACCACAGGCCCTAATTTCTTTACAAACATATAAACGTAACAGTTAACTAGTGAGAAAAAGCATCTGAACTCTAAGAACCACTTCAGAGTTTGCGGCACAGCAGGTCAGCACAAAGCAAAGAGCCACATAAGAAGAAGAAAAAAGAACTTTGTTAGGTTCCCCCGCAGCCCCTGCTCCTCCGCAGTAAGCATAATGCCTTTAAGAGTAAACCCCCAACTCCTGGCTTCGTCCAAAGAGAAAGAAAATACTGGCACAGGTGTTTTCACTTTTGGCCTTTTCAAGCTTTGGCAAAGACCGGTTTCTGCCCCTCATGAGATGGAGTGCTGAAAGAAATGGGGGTCCTCTGAGTGACAGGCTGGGCCTGCTGAGACCAAGAGGAAGTCCCTGTGACAGCTGCAGCACCAGCAGCAACAGGTGGATCAGGTGACTACAGGCCACTAAGAAGAAATCCGAGAAACCCTCTTTCACCGAAAAGCACACACACAACTCCACATAAGACACACCCTCAGCACGGGCTTAAGAGGCTGCGGGAATCTGGGCCCATTTGTTCTGGACTTCCACCCCAGCAGAAAGCCACATGATAGAGGTTGTGGCAGGAGGCTTTTTGTTAATGCCGGAATCTCAGCCAAAGAGTATATTTACAAAGTATTAGGGTAATGTGGTGCAATCAAAGAAATAAAAAAAGTTCAGAAGTCAACTCTAAAACAATGGAGATGCATAAATTAAGTGAAAAAATAAAAGTATCATTTGAATAATGCTCAATGAGTGAAAATGGGAAAACACAAAACTAAGTAGAATTAGGAAAATGAGGATACCAAGAAAAAGATACAAAGTATAAAAAACAGATTGAGAAACTGAAGGTATGAAAGGAAATAATTACTGAGAAATTCTCAAAAGTATGAAAAAATATTAAAAAATCAAGAAGCTAAACACATCAACTAGCATAAACAAGAAGGGACATAAGGCACAATATAAGCAGTTTCAAAAGTCACAGAGGAGAAAGGAATCTTGAAAGCAGCAAGTGAAAAGCCACGTGTCATTTATCAGCATGCTCTCATGAGATTACCAGTGAGTTTGTCCACAGAATCCTCAAGGCCAGGCTGGGCGTGGCAGCTCACACCTGTAATCCCAGCACTTTGGGAGGCTGAGGCAGGCAGATCGCGTGAGCCCAGGACTTCGAGAGAGGCCTGGGTAGCATGGTGAAATCCCATCTCTACAAAAAATACAAAAATATTAGTCATGCGTGGTGTTGAACTTGTAGTCCCAGCTCCTCACAAGGCTGAGGAGGGAGAGTCACCTGAGGCTGGGAAGTTGAGGCTGCAGTGAGCCATGATCACACCACCGCACTCCAGCCTGAGTGACAGAGTAATGTAACCGGGTTTCTGGGGTGCCGGTGAGGCAGAGCGCCCCTGAGAGAATGTTGTAGGTTCTTGGTCTCCGCCCTCTCAGGAATGAGAGAGGGGAGAACAGCAGGTGGGCGGTAAGCTTGTAAACACCGAACCCAAGAAGTGTTGCAGGAAGGTGATTTTATTTAGGTAGAGAAAAGAGGGGAAGAAAAGGAGGAGAGATAAAAACTTCCACGAAAAGTGTGGAAGGGGACTCCACAGGGGAAATCCAGGGTAGAGAAAAACAGCTTCCAAGAGAGTGTTCGTGGAAGGAGATCCAAATATGGAGTCCAAAGGGGTGTGGAAGAAGGGACTTTCACCTGGGAGGAACCCCTCACCTTCTCTAAGACCCCAGGCCAACGAAAGGAGTTCCTCAGAACTTCCACTGGAGTGACAGACTTTGATTCTTCCCCGCCCGCAGGAACCATTAAATCTCCCGGATGGAGAGAGATGGGAGGGGGCCACAGCGCTGGGAAGCTCTTCCCCTTAAAATTACACCCCCCCATGGACCCGGTAAGAGAATACATTCCCTCAGTAAGACCCTGTCTCAAAAAAGGGACAACTTTGAAGCAAGAAGGGAACTGGATGAGATCACCTAATTGCTGAAAAGAAAACTTCCAAGCAAGAATAATATATATAACCAGTGTCTCACAAAGTAATAAAAAATAGACTTTCTAAGATAACCAAGGGCTACACATGTCAAACAAGAAATGGAAAAAGGAACCCTTCCCACTGAAAATAAGGTGATGCTAGGAAATAATATACAATTACGTCAAAATACATAAATATATGAAAAAGATACGCATGTACAGGAAAATAAAATTCTGTGGTACTAAAACAATGCTGCAGAAATCACTTTTAATTATCTATAATTGGAAAGATGACAGTAGAAAAATAATCATAAATATCTGTTAATGGATACACAACATTAAATGATTTAGTGATATCAGTAACAAAGTTGAGGACAGATTTAATAAGAAAGAATTTTTGTAGCGCCTGTGGTCCCAGCTACTCAGAAGGCTGAGGCAGGAGAATCGCTTGAACCCAGGAGGTAGAGGTTGCAGTGAGCTGAGATTGTGCCACTGCACTCCAGCCTGGCGAAAGAGAGAGACTCTGTCTCAGAAAACAAAAACAAAACAAAATTTTTATATACAACTAAAGTATTTACCAGTATAAAATGTCTTATTATAACGGTAATATGTTTAATATAATTTCCATAATAATTGCAAGAAAATATTCTGCTAAGAAAATATCTACACACAAAAGAAAATTAAAAAGGAGTCAAAGCTTATTATACAAAGTACAAGACACAAAAGAGAGAGAAGGAAAAAGCTACAAGAATCAAGGAAAGAGGTACAATGACTAAAGTGCATTTTTGATTTCAGTAAACTGTTTACTTAGGGTCAGTTAATCAAAAGGCATATGTTAAATAATTTAAAACCAAACCAAGACCAAACTACAGCCAATCTACAAGAGACTCACTTGAGATCTAATGACAAAAAGACTGAAAGTGGCAAGCTGGAAATGCACATTTCATGCAAATGTTAATGAAATGAGAGCAGAAGAGGTTACAACTACATGATGCAAAATACATCTTAAGTTAAAAACTGTCATACTTCATAAAACATACTTTAAGTTAGAACTCACAAAAAACAAGAACATAAAACAATGAAAAAAGGACAATACGCTGGGACCTATGACAAGCGTGTGTATATTCATGTGGATATCTGGGTGTTGACGTAGCCTCGTATTATATTGCTATTTCCGGCTTCAATTCTGCGAGTTCTTTATAAACGAATAATTACAGCATCAAAGCAAGAAATAGCAAGACAATAGTAGCATACTTCTGCAACCCACTTTCAATAATGAATCGTAAAGCAAGCCTTAATAATTGTTTGGAGGACTTGAAAGCACTACCAAATAATGACACCTCACAGACACAGAGAGAACACTCCACACAACACCAGCAGGAGGCACACTCTTCCCAAGAGCTCAGAAAACATCCAGGATAGACTACCTGGACAAAACAAGTCTTAGCAAATTTCAAAAAAACTGAAGTCTTCCGCATTATTATGTATGACCAAAATGAAAAGAAACTGGAAATAACAAAGAAAAACAAAAAAAATTCACAAACACATGGCAATTAAACAACATATTTGAGCATGCTCTTGTTCAACGGTTGAAATACTTAACATTGCAAAGATGGTCACACCATCCAATGCAATCTACAAACTCCATGCAATCTCTTTCAAATTTCTAATCCGATTCTTGCAGAAATAAAAGCAACAGCCCTAACAATCATAAGACATCTCAAGGGGCCATAAAGCACCCAACAATTTTCAAAAAGAGGAACAATGCTGGAGGTATCACACTGCCTGATTTCAAAACACATTACAAGGCGACTGTAATTAAAACAGTTTGGTACTGGTACAAAGACATACAAATAAGCCAATTAAACAGAATTGTAGCACAGATTTAAAAATGAAACACAGAGAAATAAAACTGTAAAACAAATATAACAGCTAAAATATGGAATTTATTGAATATCATGACCTAAACCAATATATTCATGAAAGAAGTCGTAGAAAAAATATACAGCAGAAAAGCAGTAGAGGCATTATTTCAAGAAAAACATGCTGTTAACTTTCCAAATTTCAGTAAGGTAAAAATATTACTAACCAAGAACACTTGATGTAGAATAATTTTACTTCAAAAGAACAAGGGAAAAATAAAGGCTTTCCAAAATAAATAAAAAGATGAGGGCATTCACTGCCACTAGTACAGTTCCATAAGAAATGTGAAAGGTTGGGTGGGCATGGTGGCTCATGCCCATAATACCAGCTTTGGGTGGGGCAAGGCAAGAGGATTGCTTGGGGTCAGGAGTTAGGAATTAGCCTGGCCAACATAGCAAGACCCCATTTCTATAATATATAAAAAAACTACTGAAAAGACTCCATTATGTTAAAAATACAGTGACGCTAGACAGCATTATAAAACCATCTGAAAATATAAACGTCTCTGTTAAAGGTGGAGACGTAAGCAGATATATAGTACTTTAATATGATGGTGTAAAAACTCAGGATACTACTACAACTGAAAAAATATCTGCATATATCTTTGCTACCACACACAAAATATATAATGATTTGTTACGTTAATAGCACACTGGAGGGTGTAGAGAGTTAGTTTTTGTATTCAATGAAGTTGTGAGATTAAAATCTGTATTTATGACTTTAAGGTGTTTTATGTACTTTCCATTTTTCAAGGTGATCACAAAGAAAATACCTTTACAAGGTCTGCAAAACAAAACGAGCACAAAATGAAAGGACGTTCAAACAAAACGCAACAAACGATGAAGACAGTCAAAGAGGAAACGAGGGACAACATGCCGACAAACACAGAAAACAATAGTCAGGATGGCAGCAGGAACTTCATTTCCTTCAGACGCTATTTTAAACATAAATTAACCTACTTAATGAACGGAAATGAAATAGCTGAGCCAATTAAGAACAATATGCTATCTACGAAAGACTCTAGCCTTAAATAGTAAAATAGGCTGAAAGAATTTAAAAAAATTCCATGCAATTAGTAACCACAATCAGGTGGGGTGGTTATCATTATGTTAGACAGACAATAGACAATAATACATCTTAAGTCAAAACTGTCACAGGAGACAAAGATTAAGAGCATCTAACAGTAAACTGTGCCCATTAACCAGGAATCTGCAACTGTTTATCTGTCTACATTTCAATCTAACATCAGGACTTCCAGATACATAAAGTGAATATGGAGAGAAGTGAAGCAAGACGTACACAAGTTAACACAATAAGTATCGACTCTAAGACCCCATTTTCAACACAGAACAGAAAATTACACAGAGCAGTAAGAAAGCTTGGGCAACACTACCAACCAAATAAACTTAACAGACATGTACAGAACTCTTCAGTCACATGAAGCGGAATATGCTGTATTCTCAACTGCACATAGTGCCTTCTGTTAGAACACAATGTCTCCTTAAGACTGAAGTCACACAACATGTTTTCTGACCAAAATGTAACTATACTAGAAATCAAAAGCAAAAGCGAAACCGGCAATGCCAAAAATTAAACACCCTCGAACATACACATTCTTGCTCAATGGTCAGATAATTGTTTTGTTTTTTTTTTTTTAAGATGCCAATACTGCCCACAATGATGTACACATTCAATGTAATCTCTATCAAACTGCCAATGGTACTTTTTGATTCTTTTAATCCTAAAATTAGTGTAAGAACAATAAGTAGCCAAAACTCTTTACAAAGAGGCATTATACTTTCTGATTTCAAAACATACAAAAAGCTATAAAAATAAAACAACGTGGTACCGACACAAAGACAGATAACTACATGATGAAACAGAACATAGTCCAGAAATAAACCCTTGTGGATAAAACCAAATAATCTTCCACAAGGTTTCCATGATCACACAATGGAGAAAAGATTCTTTTCAACAAATGATGTTAAAAACTGGATATCTACATGGAAAAATGAATATTCTTCCTTGTACCATATTCAAAAATATTTTAAATGAAATACTTAAACATAAAAATAGAATATAAGTCTTAGAAGAAAATATAGATCAAACGCATAAGTGCAAAAAAAGAACAGAAAAACTGAACTACATCAAACTTCAAACTTTCTGCAAATCAAAGAACACAATGAGTGAAATGAAAATGCCACCCAAGAAATGGGAAAAAATACCTGCAAATCACAAACATGATAGTAGTTAATACTCAGAGTATGTAAGAAACTTTCACAACTCAAAAACAAAAATTAAGTAACTTGACTTAACAACAGATGAAGGACTGACTGAAATCCTCCAGAAAAGATATGTAAACGGCTGACAAGCACTTGAACGAATGCCCAAATTACTCATTGTGGAGAAATGCAAAACAAAATTGCAATGAAGGTATTCCTAACAGTTATTAGAATGGCCACTGTTAAAAAGATCCAAATCTGTCAAGGATGTGAAGACACTGAAAACCACGTGAACTGCTGGCAGGCTGCAAAGGATGCAGCCACGAAGACAGATAGCATTGGCCAGGCGCGCTGCTCACACCTGGAATCCCACCCAGCACTTTGGGAGACTGAGGTGGGTGGATCACTGAAGCCCAGGAGTTCGAGACCATCCTGGACAACATGGCAAAACCCTATCTCTGGTAAAAATACAAAAGTTAACTGGGTGTGGTGGTGTGCACCTGTAGTTCCAGGTACTCGGCAGGCTGAAGGGGCAGGATCACTTGAGCTCATGGGGCAGAGGTTGCAGTGAGCTGGGAACCACTGCACTCCAGCCTGGGTGATAAGAGTGAGACTCTGTTTGAAAAACAAAAACAAAAACATAAATGTTCCTCAAAAACTTAAACATGGAATTATATGATCCAGCAATCCTACTTCTGGGTCTCTATCAAAAGTATACAAAGCAACTCAGGACTTGGAAGAGATATTTACACACCCATGTTTATTGTGCTACTATTCAGAAAATTCAAATGGGGGAAGGCTCAAGCGATGAACGCACACAAAGAAACGTGGCATATACATGTAAGGGAACACTATTCAACCATAAAAACAGTCATATGGAATTACAAAACACTAAGAGAAGTGTTAGTCATAAAATCTGCCATGAAACAGTGATGTACCATTAAAAAAGAATTTGCCTAGTAACTACAATACTCAACTGTGGCTGTGTAATCATGAAAAGCAGGTTATTTTGAATCACTATTTGAATCACCGGCATGCAGTGTACAGCAGTAAAATTTCAGAGAAAATGCACGTCATTAATGAAAGACTCTACTGAGAACATTTTAATGTTCTAAGAAGATACTAAAGATAATTTTTATTATATGTTTACTATACTGGTGCTATTCTGCAAAGTAAAAATGCTGCCATACTTTCAGAAGCAAGGAATAACCTTACATTTCTAAACAAAGAGTAAAATATAAATCATGTAAAATATGGTGGGAGTCACTGACATAAAAAATAAACATTTGGGAATAAATCATATTACCATTTATATACAGATTGGAAAAACAGGATAAAATGCTATGATTTCTTTTTGCCTGCAGTAATTTAATAAACATGGAGTGCTTACTAAATAATTTAATTCAGACAGAACATGCTAATTTCTAGCATACTGTTTTGAATATTAGAATTTGAAATTACAGATAAATTTGAAACAGAACAAAAGAGAAAGTGAAAATGACATAGAAAGGTGGTGAAATAGGGGGACCCAGGCTTATATTAACCCCCACAGCAACAAAAATGTGTCAGACTGCTGTGGATGGAAACACCTTTCCCAGAGAGCCAGGCTCCACAGCTCATGCCTATAATCCCAACTACTCAGGACCTCAGGGGGAGAGGCTCACTTGAGGCCAGAAGTTCAGAACCAGCCTGGGTGATACAGAGAAACCTCATCTCAAAAAAATACCTGTAAGGGAGCTTTGGAATCCAAGGAGGGGGTTGTAAAATTCTGCTAAAGACCAAGACTATAGATCCATTGAAAATTATCAAAATTCCAGGGGCCTTTTTCACAGTAATAGAAAATATAATTCAAAAATTTATATGGAATTAAAATAAACTTGGCATAGCCAAAGCAATCTGTAGGAAAAAGAACAAGGCGAGAGGCATAATATTTTCTGAGTTCAAACTACGTTGTAGGACTACAGTTGTAAGAACAGGATGGTATGTGAACAGAGAAGAAAACTGACATAGAGACCAATGGAACAGAATGGAGAGCCCAGAATTAAACTCCTGCATATCAACTCAACTCATCTCTCACAAGTGTGACAAGAACATACAATATGGACAGTATAGTCTCTTCCACACTTGGTTCTGGGGAAACAGAATACCCACAGTCAAAATAGTGAAATAAGTAATTTTTCTTACCCCATACTCAAAAAAATTAGGTTGAAATAAAGACTTAAATGTAAAACATGTATCCTTAAAAACTCTAAGAGAAAACCTCTTTGATACTGGTCTTGGCAATCATTTATGTATGACACCAAAAGTACAGAAACAAAAGTAAATCTAAACAAGCTGGAGTGCATTCAACTAAAAGGCTTCTGCACACCAAAGACAACGTACAATCAACCTTTTTCATATTAGAATGGCAAATATCAAAAATAAGTCATATATTAGGTCTTTCCAAAAGTAATTGTGGTTTTTGCCTTTTAAACGGTAAAAAACACACTTAACTTTTCACCAGCCTAATAACAATGTTGACAAGGATGTAAAGCAAAAACATTTCGGTAGTCATTATGAAAACCAGGAGGGAGGCTATTTCAAAATAAAAAAATGTAAACCCACCCTACAGTGCAGCAATCCCACTCTGTATGTATCACTGAAGGAAATAAAAGCAGTACCTGAAGAATTATCTGCTCACAGTTCACTGCAACATTATTCACAATTGTCAACATAGAAAAACAACCTAAATGTCTGTGGATGCTGAATGGATAAAGAAAATATGATATAAATAGACAACAGAATATTAGTCACAAAAAAGGAATGAAATCCTGTCATTCAACACCATGGCTGACTCTGAAGGACATGATGCTGAATAATCTCAGCCAGGCCCAGAAACACAGGGACTGCATGTTCTCCCTCAGACGGGACATCTGTAATGGCTGAACTCACAGGAGCAGAGGACAATGGTAGTTGCCAGGGCCTGGAGTTGGGGAAAATGAGATATTGTTCAAAAGGTCCAAGCTTTCAGTTCTAAGATGAGTTTTTGGGGAATCGAGTGAGTCGTGTTAGGAATACTGTTAATAATGTTTTCTGTGCTTAAAATTTGCTGACGGTAGACCTTAAGTATTCTCTCTGCAAGAAAAGGTGATTATGTGAAGTAACAGATTTATTCCTTAATGTGATTGCACTAATTATTTCACAATGTATACACATATCCAATTATTACCCTGTCCACAATGTATACACAATTTTTATTTCTAAAATAATCTGTTATACATATGCCCATATATATACACACACCTGTATATGTGTGTGTGTGTATATATATGAATGGATAAAGAAAATATGATTTAAATAGACAATAGACTATTACTCCCCCATAAAAAAGAATGAAATCCTGTCATTTCTATGTTGATATATGATATATACACATACATGATATATACACACACATATAAACATACACACACATACATACATACACACGAATGACACAGTCCTGATAAGCTTCATACTAAAAAAGAGGGAATTATAAAATGATAATCATAACTATTACAGTTGGGCATTGGGGAATATAGAGTTCAAATGACCAACCTCAGTTCATACTAAAAAAACCACAATTTTGAAGTAAAATAACCAAATTATCTCGTATTGGGGCAGATGTTTAGTGTTTGGAGAAAATGACTGCGTATAACTTTCAGTAGACTCCCATGTGAAACCTCTGTACGATACAAAATCGTAAAGCTGAAAACACACAACATCTGTTTGCGGGACTTGTGGAGTTTCTGAAGCAAACACCGTCACCGCCCCTCTCACACATTTCAGACCTGATGCAAAAGGAGAAATGAAGAAACATTTCACACAGAGTTCCTCAAAAATGTGCAGGGACATGCAGGTTCTCAACAGCAGAGGCCAAGCAAGCAGCGAGACCACACAGGTCCTTACTCGGCAGGAGGAGGGCTCTGATGTTTATTGTGACCTGAAGGAAGATCGCTACCTGGGAAGCGGAATCTGGAGAAAATGTAAGAGAATAAGATAGAAGATGCTCCCAGGGGACAGCCAGAGAAAGAAACCCAGGCTCTCAGAACCCATCTCTACTGGAGCGGAGCTTCCCAAGCCACAAGTTAACGTCTGGCTTCCTCCGCGGCCCCTGGACCTTTCACCTGGATTACCGGCTTCGTTAAGTCCCACCCACCTGGATGTCCGTCTACTGCCTCCCGTCTCTTCAGATTCCATGGTGCTTTTCTTTGCTCCAGGCAGGTGATCAGGCCTGGCTTAGAGACAGTCAGACCTGTTTTATTAGAAAAAAAGTGACATTATGCTGAAATTCACCAATTACCAACCTTGTATGCTTAGTAGAGTGAACACTGTAGGAGATTCTAGAAAAGTAATCCAAAAATGATTCCTGACATAACCTTTAGAATATTCAGTAAGCATTTTAAATCTGTGTGTTCTTAGTTTCACCACTCAGTACTGCTGAATCAAAACTCGGTGGTGGAAATTTGATTTTAACATGCGGGCAACAATATTTCATGCCACTAAATTTCTGGAATTACCACTAGAGTCAAAGATACAGATCAGCTGAAAAAAAGGTTTATGGCAAGATGAACCACATTTTGACGATTTTTTTTTTAAACGTCAACAAATCCCCATGGTTTTCTTAAAAGCAGGGATCTGAAACTCATTCATGCAACGCAGAAACTCCCAAAAAAACATTCTGCAAAGGAACGAAAGCAACTCTTTAGGGCATATGAGGAGTTACGTATTGAAGTCATCCTCACCAATGGAGAACAAGTTTCTGTAGTTCTCTAACATCACATCTCTGTACAAATTCTGCTGTGCAGGGTCCAGGAATTTCCACTCCTCCAGGGAGAATTCTATGGCCACATCCCTGAATGTCAACACTTTCTGAAGAAGAAACAACAACAGCAGCAAACACTTACCAAGTGGCTTTGGGCAGAGTTCTTAACTTGACTCCAGGTGAAATGAGCGTGTGAAGAGAACTGGTTCTGACTTATACAAGTGGTGGGAATTATACAGTAAGGTAATTTTTAGCACAAGAATTTTCTCTAACATTCTCTCTAGCTCTGAGGAAACAGAATTGCCTAAGATCCACACAAGCAGTGTACACAGAGTACTCTCCTGGATGATAAAGTGTAAAATCAAGGGCATCGACAACGGCATGTCCATTTTTGAGTGCCACGTTTACTTCATATGAATAAGGCATGTCTATTTCTCAGACAGCAAAGTCATGGAGAGTCAGAAGTTACCTCTTAAATTTAATGTGGCCAATAAACTAGAGGTCTTGTGCAGATTCTGCTTCAGGACATCTTAGATCAAGCCTGAGTTTCTGAATTTCTAACATGCTCACCAGTGATGCCAGCTCTTTGGGTCCAAAGCCAATACTGTGTCAAACATCCTGTAAGAGGCAGAGCCTGAGTTTATCCCAGTTTTTATGAACCACAAACAGAGATGAGATTCTTTATCTTCTAAAGCAAGGCATATGCAAAAAGAATCTAAGAAGTGAAGACCTTTCAGATTAAATGTGATTATTTACACACATTAATCAGTAAATCTCCTCAACGTACTTAACAAAAAAGAGAAAAAATAATTAAAATCTACAATGGAAAAATCTGTCAGAGAGCTCTTTAACCAACTGAATAAAATGAACATCAACTGTAATAGGACAGATTTTTATCATGTGCCAATGCACAGAGAAGACATATTACTGGTGTGATGCTGGCCAAAAAGTAAATTATAATCTGAACCTAATCATACAGAAAAATCAGTTTTATGTAAAGTTGAAGAGACAAGTCTCTCCATGTTCTGTAATCCCTTTCCTTTTTTTCTTGACACGGAGTCTCGCTCTTGTCACAGAGGTTGGAGTGCAGTGGCATGATCTCGGCTCACCGCTACCTCAGCCTCCCTGGTTCAGGCAATTCTCGTCCCTCAGCCTCCTGAGTAGCTGGAACTACCGGCATGTGCTACCACGCCCAGCTAATTTTTGTATTTTTTTTTTTTTAGAAGAAGAGGTTTTACCATGTCACCATGTTAGCCAGGCAGGTCTCGAACTCCTGGCCTCAAGTGATCCACCCGCCTCAACCTCCCAAAGTACTGGGATTATAGGCGTAAGCCACTGTGCCCAGCAGTAATCTCTAATTGTGTAATAAAACAGTCTTTCTTTAGCACTCTAAAAAACAAGTGTCTTTTCATTTTTCTCTTTTTCAGAATGTTCTGCGTTATTCTGGGCAATAAATGCCATCTGGTTTAAATGTTTATTTTCTTAACCCTGTTCTGCATACAACTGATGGAGTATCCAGATGAAACCTAAACGGTGCATGTTTCCCTTCTTCACTAACATCCAAAAACCACTCCCCATCCTCAGAGGAATCTTGGGTATCCACACCTTCCCATGGTTCAGTGCCACAAAGTGAACATTTTTAATACTGCAGGTCATAAAGTCATGGCGAGAATTCTTCATGGCATATAAGAAGTCAAGGTGAAGATAACACAGAGAAGGCTTTGGTATATAGAAAAGAAATATTTTCAGCGACCTTTCATTATTATAAGAAAAAAAAAGTAGTTGAAACAAATGTATCATACAGAAACACCGCAATCAGAAAAGCAAAGGCTTCCAAATTCTAACACAGGACATTTCAGGAGCAAACAGACACAACCCCTGACCTGAGATGCATTTACCTGAGCACCAGCCATTTCTTTCTCTTTCTCCTGCTTCTCTGGAGTTTCCTCTTAGGTAAGATTCTCTGGACAAATCACAGCTGCGTCGTGAGAATATGCCTTTAAGGTGTCAGCACAACCCTTTCACCTGCCACCACCAGACCCATCAACAGAAAGACCTAGAAACACAGGAAAAGTCCACGCTTTTCTGTTCTTTATCAAAGAGATTCAGGAACAGTAAACTTCTACCTGGACGTCTAAATACGGATTTCTCTTCCTGCTCTCAGGTACCCTCCCTGCCACAAACAGCAGCAATTCTGCTACAGCGACAGGAATGTAAGCTGCACTGAACCGCCCCTCTGAAACCTAAGCAGAGAAGGCCCTGTGACCTCCCTTTGGAATCAAGGCTGAACTCAACTCTCACAAAAGCATCTGAATCTCCTCGTAACTGACTGGTCACACCTCAGAATCCTGAGGCGTGTGACTCAAAGAGCACTGGTGCTTCCGCCCAAACCAACAGAATCTGCAGGGAGGGCATGTTTTCGAGTTGCCCATGTGATTTAATCAGAAGCTGGCTGGGAACCATGTAGCTAAGCCCAGTTTCTCAAGCTTCAATGTGCATAGAAACCATTTGGTAATTTTGGTCCCACTCTGGATCCTGTGCTTCTGAAGATTACAAAGGGCTCATGGGCTGGATTTGTTAACAGTTCTGCCATTGACGGTGACGCAGCTCGCCCGGGACCTGTGATCGTTTGCGCTCAGCTAAAGGAAGCGACCCTTGCGCAGGCCCTAACACCCAGCCCTCTTACCACGGCACAAGTTCTTTCTGGTGCAAATAGAAACGGCCCATCTCCACCCTGAAAGATTACGTTATTTTATGGCTCTTTACAGTTTTCCAGGGCTGGAGAAGGAAGCAATGTCTGAATCTGTCTCCATCTGAAAGCTGCACACACGTATGAATGCAGTGTCCATGAAGCAGGCACTGCGTGCTCAGAACATGCACCAGAGCACTGCGCTGGGCGCCTCACGTCATGTGAGTTAATGCCCGTCACAGCCTGGGTGATGGCACCAAGTGTCCCGCAACTCTCAAGATATAGACCAACGGCCCAGGCTTTGCATTTCTTTTTGGTTTTCTACCGTTGACTTTTCAAAAGTGTATAAAGCTCCATGTGGACCAACGGAGTGGACGCACAGAGGGAGAAGTCTAGTGCAGAGGCATTTTCCATTGCCGTGTTTACATTCACTTTCCTGTGGCTTGTGAAGCAGCTATTAGGCCCACAGGACTGAGAAACAGGTTGCTGTATGAGCTATCTCCAAAAGCACTGGTGTTATAAAAAAAAAAAAAAAAAAAAAAAAATTAAGGCCCAAAACAGACAGTGCTTTGATCCCATTTATCTGCTTTGGGGTTTCAGAAAATTATCAATATCAGTTCTGGAGAGGCAGCAGGAGTCACCACCCAAAACTCTGATTTAACTCTCTAGCTAACTCTATCGGAGGAGATTCCAGGGTGAGGCCAGACCTGAGTGAGGCTACAGGAGAGGCAGTCTGGGCATGTCTGTGCAGGGAGAGGGCGCTATGCAGATTCTGATCTCTGTGCTACTAAGTATTTACAATTCTGTTTTTCCTAAAATTGCCCCCCAAAAATTTAAATCTCAGGGTTTGTAGAATCTTAATCTATGTAACCCACTTCCCTGTCTATTTTATCACATAAAATAACAAGTAATTTAACCAAAACCTTTAGAATTTTCTAGGACATATGTGTTAGAAGCTAATATTTATTTTTAGCAGGGCAAAAGCAACAGAAATAATGATACCACCACCACCTTTTCTGTCTATGGATATCCCTTCAACTGGTGACATCAGAACTCACAGCAACCACTGGAGGAAAACGGTCCAAATGAAGCCTCAGCCCCTTTGACCACTTCCTTCTTTGTGCTAACCCCCTGAGGCTGAATTCAGTTGTTCACCCAGTTACTGGAAACAGAAAGCCTCTGGTCTGCAGGCCGTGACTGCTTGCCTTGCCTTTCTAATGCTACACAAGACGGAATCAATTCGTTCACCAGTTTCAAACTCCAGGTCTCATTTTTGTGTTTTACTCAAGTATCTGGGTACCAAGGAGGTTTCTTCTCTGAGGGGACGAGCACACCCTGGGTGACTCATTCCTCTTATTCTAAGACAGAAGCACAGACAGCTCATTTTGTCATCCCGCGCCCGGTCTGCACGCGCACCTGCAGACGGATGTCCGAAAGACTCCAGTTGCGGGTGACAGAGCTCCCGTGACCCTGCATGGATGCCCTCTGCAAATCTATGGCGATCCAGGCAGGAGAGACGCAGGCGGATTCTGAGTAGAAAATGGAAAAATTGGGGAGTGAATTTTCTTCGGATATTAAATATAAATATCTCAGTATGAACAACTTTAATATACTAGTCATGATGTAGGTAGTATTTAAAAACTTTGTAACTTTAATTCAGTTACAACACTTTACATTTCAAAAGAATAACATTGATATTAAAATTACTATTTAAGGGTTTTTCTCCAAAATAAATAGTTTGCCTTTATATTCACGTTATTGTAGAAAATATTGTTTAATTTAAATGGATGCAAGTTGTCTACTAAAAATGGTATATAACTCTGCTAGTTGTTCCTAAGTCATGAATAGAAAAGAAGGTGTAGCCGCAAACTCCCCGGTTTGGCTGACACGCTCGGCTACCCTTGCTCTGGCGGTGTGAGCCCCTCAGCCTCGACCTGCAGTAGTCACTGCAGATGACCAGCCTCTGTCCAAGGCTCTGGCATCCTGCACCCTGCATCCCTCTGCATCGCCGGACTTTGTCCTCAGCTTTGCGCTCCACTGCCGTGTACTCTTCATTCTAAGCAAATCGGTGTCTACTTTAAAAGACTGAAAATGGAAAAAAACAAATATCTGCCAAGTAATGGTTCTCAGGCCCTAAACAAAGACAATCCTGAATTAAAAGAATGACAAAAGACTTGGCTGTTTAAGTGACTTATGTGTATTTCAAAAGAGCAGAGAAAAAACTTGCAGATGAAAGTGCCCTAAAGTAAATCTTTTCAGAATTGGGAGAAGAAAAAAAACTTTTCCTTATTTTCGAGTGAGAGAATTAAGCCTCTTATTTCTAACTGGTATTTGTTCTCGCAACAACGAGGTCCAGGGCCATGGTCCTAAAACTCTGAACATCTGAATTCCAGCAAGCACTAGATTCACACACCGAAGGGGTGGGCCGGCCTTGGGCACAGCAGGTGCACACAAAAGGTGTTTGTGCGCAAAACAAATCAAGAGACAAAGGCGCTCTCCAGGATCCAGGGTGGCAAAGAGTGCCAAGTCAGCGGCCCGGGTGGGGCTGTGACCCGACGTAGCGCTGTGTCCCTGTAGGCCGAAGAGAGTACCACTGGGGGGGTCCCGAGTTGGTGGCAGGTGTAGGCTCCTGCAGCAGATTCCGTTTCTGGAGCTGAGGATACACCAGGGGTCCTGAAGGCACTTGGGTGGGTTTTGGGTGGGAAATTCTAACTCCAAAGGTGCTGTAGTCAAATTCCCGAAGGGGATGCCTAGTCTTTGAAGGGGTGTGGGCAAGTCAGTGTTCCTGAGTGGCTGGGAATCGTGATGACAGCTGGGGAGGAGGCTGTCTGTTCTAAGCACCTTTTCCCTCCAAGTTCTCAGTCCCCTCTCACCCTCAGGGACCCAGAATCACAGGACAAGGTGCAACGTGATGGCCTGTGTGCAGAACATGGCCTTGTTTTCCCAGACACCCAGAGTCTCCCTCCAACCCAGGCCCAAGACGCCTTTCTCCTGACGCGAAAAGTGTGGTGTTTGCTGAACCCCAACCAGTTCTTTGACACCAACTGACTGCTTAACTTTTTCTTTTCTTTTGAGACAGAGTCTCGCTCTGTTGCCCAGGCTGGAGTACAGTGTTGCGAACTCGGGTCACTGCAACCTCCACCTCCCAGGCTCAAGCGATTCTCGTGTCTCAGCCTCTCGAGTAGCTGGGATTACAGTGGTGTGTTTTTAGTAGAAATGGGGTGTCACCAAGTTAGTCAGGTTGGTCTCCAACTCCTGGCCTCAAAGGGCTAGGATTACAGACATGAGCCACCACACCCGGTCAAGTGTGCAGTATTTTAATTCTGACACCATTTAGAGCCAGCTCAGATCCCACAAGTTCAGGACTCAGTCCCACAACACTGCCCCACCACAGATGCCAGTCACAAGCCTGGGATAACCATTTATACTTCTGACCTACTGTCTATAAACTGGGTACTCCCAAAACCTCCTGTTGAGTTCAGCAATTCGATAAAACTACTCAAAGAACTCAGCAAAACACTGTGCTTACATTTACTGGTTTACTAAAAAAGATACATACCAGTAATGGCCCGGAAGAGCTGCAGAGGGCAGGGGAACGCCGTGAGGAGGAGGAGTGCCTAACGGATTCTGGTCAAGAGCCCTGAGGAACAGAACTGCTCCTTCCTTGTGTTCTCCAGGGACAGCTGAATCAAGAGAAACCCCTTTCTATGAAGACTCAAATGACGCTCCCTTTGTTACCTACCACATAGCCAGATACAGACACCTGAAAATTTCCATTTTTTTCCTAATCAGCAATCGGCTGAACAATTCTGTCTTCAGTGGTCATAACAAAATACTTCTCTATCAAAATCCGCTAAAATCCCTCTCCTTCCCCCAAGTCCCTCAATTTTGACCTACCCTCAGTCTGAGCCAACATACAGCCCCTCTTCTTGCCCCTCCCAAGAACACGCTGATTTCAGAGTAAAACATTCTGTGATCTAGAATCTGGTTTTCCCACCCTCTATCCTGTCCTCCCTTCTCCCTATAAAAACACAAAAAGCCCTAGTCTGCCTAACTTTGGAGCTCTTCAAAGGCCTGATAGATGGTACCTTCTCCCACTTGCAATCCTCCTTTAGAGTTCAATAACTTCCGACCTAAAGCTCCATTTATTTTATTTGATGAAGTCTAGAAACAGCCCCAGGATAACAACAATCCCACACCCAGGAAGACCTCCCCAACTCCCATCCCAACTCCAGCTGCATCTGCCTGTGGTCCCCAAGGCCCCCAAGCTCTGCAGCTTCTCTCTGTAGAAAGGCTCCATCCACGGTTGCCGTGAGCAGGCTGGGGCACCCACAGGGGAGGCTCCTTGGGAGGCACGAGCTAGGCCGGGGGTGTCTAATCTTCCGCATCCCTGCGCCACAGGGGAAGAACTGTCTTGGGCCACACATAAAATACACTAACACCAATGATAGCCGATGAACTGAAAACAAACCACACAAAAAAATCTCATAATGTTTTCAGAAAGTTTATGAATTTGTGTTGGGCCACATTCAAAGCCCAGGGCGGCATGCAGCCCAGGACTGCGGGCCGGACAAGCTCGAGCCAGGCCTTCAGTTGCCTTCTTTTGCAGGCTCAATACTGGCCTTAGCTTGTAGTCACTGTTCTTGGGCTTCAACTTCCCAATCAGGGTTATCCACTTAGTTTTAAGTAAGAAAATACCCAGTGTTGAAAACATCCAACAAAATCACTCAGTTTACAGAAGAAAAGGAAACTGTAGGGCGCTCACACTTTTCACATCAACAGAAAAAGCAAAAGTGTTTATTGCTTTCAAACAATGAACTTATTCTTTCCATAACAAATCAAACAGTAAACAATCCCTGTGAACACTTTTAGAAGTGCTAAGTTCATCTCCTACAACTTGGCATAAACTCCGAAATCTAGAGAAAGGATATAAAGCAGAGATATTCACTATAACAAATTCACCCTGCAAAAGGAGGAGCTAATGTTTTGATGAATGTATGTAGTTCACCAAGTAGTCTACCATAATTGTTTGTAGAAAATGTAAACATTCTCCATAGCTATCAAAGAAGCATTTTATTTTCCCTGGTAGCATTCCCAAAGCTAAGCCCTATGATTCTGCTGGAAATCATTTCCCAAAAAAGAACAGACCCAGGTAACTTTCTACATTTAATCACTCTGGAGAAGAGAAAGCTACACGTGACTACACATTCAACTTTTTTTTCTGAAATGGACCTACTTCATGTCCTTTGTAAGTATTTTCTTACCTTTCGGGCTCTACTGATACAATGCAAATTTACGATTAAAAAACCAAAGTTGCAGTAAGTGAACAAATTATGTCAAGGTGACAAGACGGACAGTGGCAGTGCTGACTGCAACAGGCGTGTCTAATGACTTGTGCCACGTCAGGCTATTCTGTTATTGGGGAGATCCTCCCAGCTGCATCCTGTTCACTAAAGAGCTCAATGACCCTTCCCATGATACACTACACTGTGCCCCACTGAGTAGCCCAGGTGAATTCTGCTTTACAGGTTTTTGCACCACCTCATGAGGGTGGGTTTTTCTTGTCCTTTGAAACACTTTGTCTCCCTTCACAAATCTGAGAGAGTCCAAAGGACAGAAATGATTTCAGTCTTTTCCCCCTGACAGCAACATCTGATTGGCTGATCAGCAATGTGTCTCCAAGGATTGAAAGTTGGGTTGGGTGAAGACCATCTTAATCTCCCATCCAAGTGGTTACCTCTTTAGAGGAAGAGTGGACCAGACTTCTCTCAGCCCAGGGAATCCAGCTGCTCCCTGGAGAGGCCACATTTCATACCTCAGGCTGTCCTCTGAGAAGAAATAACCCAGGGGCTGAAATCCACCAGATGCTCCAGCAGACAAGGCCATGGTGGGCATCTTTTGTTAGCCCCAGACAATACGGAAACCGAAGGAAAAGTCCAGAGGGTGCCGGAGAACAAATCACCCTGTAAAGCTTCGAAAGTGGAACCTCAAACCAAAGACATTCTGATAAGGTGTCTGTGCCAAGGAAAATAAAAAGGAGGAGAGAGAGGCACAAAGATTTTTTTACAACAGTGCCAGGGGATGATTCTCCGCTTTCCTGTCACGTAGAATGATTACAAACAGAAATGTCTTAAAAAGTGCCATCCAGGCCGGGCATGGTGGCTCACGCCTGTAATTCAGTGTGAGCACTTTGGGAGGCCATTGAGGTAGATCACATGAGGTCAGGAGTTCAAGACCATCCTGGCCAACATGGCAAAACCCCGTCTCTACTAAAAATACAAAAATTAGCCAGGTGTGGTAGCACATGCATGTAATCCGTAGCTACTTGGGAGGCTGAGGCATGAGAATCGCTTGAGCCCAGGAGGCAAAAGTTGCTGTGAGCTGAGATAGCACCACTGCACTCCAGTCTGGGCGATGGAGTAAGACTCCATCTCAAAAAAGAGAAAAGAAAAAAGTGCCATTCAATGCATTGTGAAAAAAAATGATTCATTAAAATACTGTGCCTAAAATTACAGCCAAGGATGAATAGTCGATAATGTTGTGAATCAGAAAGGGGAAATTAGCATTTGGAAACGTCTGGAAGAAACAGGAAATTTAGGATTTTACTGCAGGCCAGAATTAGGCCTGAAGAACGTGGTGGTGGTTTTGAGACCCTGCTTGAAATACATCTGGGAAGTGCAGGGAAAAACCAGGTTTCTGTTTAGTGTTAAAATAATTAAACAGCAGGCAATCCAACTTAAGTGGCTCTAGTGCTGCGGGTTCTTAAGCAAAAAAAAAAAAATGTAACTCTGATGCGTTTCTTGCAAATGACTCTCTTGCAGAAACAAAACTGAGGCTTCATCAACCATGAACCTCGCATTAACCTCTGATTACATGACCAGACAATTTCAACCTAGAAAGCTCAAATCCAGAGACGACATAGCTGTACCCAACTAACGAATGAATGTGGCTTGCTTCCTGATGCACCTGAGAAAAGCCTTTCCTTCAGGGCCGGCTGGTGGGGCGGCCAAACCCAAAAAGTATGGTTAGGTCCTCTGCCATTCAGGACCCTCTCTTCGCTCAAATAAAACTCCTACGCATTTCTGCAGGGACTCCCTCGGGAGAAAGGCGGGACGGGGCCCCCACAGGTCATCCTCCTATGCACAAACCACCCGCGGAGCCGGGATTCGCCCTTCCTGACTCGGGGAGACGCGGGTCTGCGGGCGAAGAGCTGCCGGGGGAGACGGGCCTGGGCTCGAGCCAAAGGCGCTCTGCAAGGATGCGCCGGGAGGCCGCCATGCTGCGGCCGGAGGGGCCTCGGGTCCGCGGGGCCCGGAACCCGCCCGGGCAGCCCGGCTCCTCCGCCGCCGGCACCGCGGGCTGCAGCCCGCCCCCGCCCGTGTCTCAGGAGGCCTGGCCGCCACACTCACCATGTCCTGGCTTCCAGGGAGCCCGCGTTTCACTTCTGGCGCTCCCGGTGCATCCGGGTCACAGGGCCAACGGCAGGCGGACGACGCAGAGCGGCGGGGACAGGAAGTGGAGCTCGGGCCGGACAAAGGCCCCGCCAGAACCCGGAAGCCGTCCTCTCCCCGCCACACGCGTGCCTGATTGGCCAGTCCCCGCCCCCGCGCCTCTGATTGGATAGGGCCTCACGCCCCGCCCCCTGAGGCCCTGAGTGACAGGAGCTGTAATCGGACAAAGGGCCGAATGAGAGCAATGACAGGTGCCGGCTGCGGCCTTTCGGAGCCCGGCTTCCTACCTGCGCGGTCCGGCCGCACCGAGAGGATACTTGCGTTTCACCCTGTGACTGTGGCTGGGTTCATTTATAAAAATAAATGTGTGTTATTCACCCATGGAAAGAAAATAATGACAGTCATTTCAAATGTTCATATTTTATGGCCTTCCTGGCTTTTGGTCCTTTGAACAGACAGCCTGAAATTTCAAACCTCTAAGAATTAGAATGTGAGCCACGTGTGAATTTTAAATTTTCTAGAAGCCACAGTTTAAAATGTACTAAGAAACGGGTGAAATTGAGTGTAATAATTTAACCCCATATGTAACCATTTTCCTGTATGGTCAATATATAATTGGTAAGGAAGCATGTATTTTGGGGTACGAAATATTTGAGGCTTACTCTGTATTTTACTTTTTCAGCACATTTCAGTGCAGACCAGCTGCGTTCCCGATACTCAATAGCCACACATGATCAATAGCTGCCACATTGAAGTGCAGCTCTGAGGGGTCTAACCTCCCTTATGTCAGGGGGTGAAGGTTCTGAACGTCTCTTTTCAGCCAGAGGTGAGGGAACAGCCTCTCACTACAAACATCTCTCCTCTGGTCGGAGGGTGGACGAGATGGTGACCCTAGAGAGCTTAGGGGAGAGCAAAGCAAAATATCCGCGGGTGGAGGACGGCTGCCCACCGATAATGGGGCCCCAAGAGGAGAGAACACATCTTCGGGTCTGTCCATAGCGTAACCTCCAACATTTAGATATGGAGGAAATGGACTAAAGGCAGGCTTACCTTGCTGTTTGGCCTCAGCCCTAACGATCAAGCTGCAGTTGTCTGTTTCTTCCTGCGGCTGGAGGTGGTGGCTGTGTCTGTAAAAGCACCGATCACGTATATACATGTGTACATGCATTTCTTTATGATGGAACATTATTTTTCAAAAGATCCAACTTTAAATAAGTGTTGGGTGGGGGCGGAATTAGTACCGATAAAGTGTTTTCTTCTCGCAGGTAACTGGGAAGCAGGCTTTCATTGAATCCTGGCAGCCTATCCGCCCTGGGTGCAGGTATTAGTCAGCTATTGCATAACAAACCACCTAAAACTTAATATCTTGCAATTGAGTTCATCAGCCATTTAGGCTGAACTCAACTGAGCTATTCTTGTCACAGCTGGACTCCTTCATGTATGTATGGTCAGCTGCCTGTTGACTAGGTGGCTCTGCTTCTGGGGATGAGATGGCTACCAACAGTGGCACCCTCCTTCTCCTCCCCATGGTGTGTCATCCTCCGGCTGGCTCACATGGCTTGATCTCATAAAGATAGTAAGGTTCTGAGGAAAACAGAAGCATTTAAGACCTTCTGAGCCTAGCCCAAACTAGCGCATAAGCTGTCATGTTCACAGTTGATATGGCCTGGGTGTGTCCCCACCCAAATCTCTACCTGAATGGTATCGCCCAGAATCCCATGTGTTGTAGGAGGGGCCCCGGGGGAGGTAATGGAGTCATAGGCGCTGGTCTTTCTCCTGCTCTTCTCGTGATAGTGAGTAAGTCTCACGAGATCTGATGGGCTTATCAGGGGTTTCCGCTTTTGCGTCTTCCTCATTTTGTTCTTGCCGTCGCCACGTTAAGAAGTGGCTTTCATCTCCAGCCATGATCCTGAGGCCTCTCCAGCCACGCGGAACTGTAAGTCCAATCAAACCTTTTTTGTTCCCAGTTTGCGGAATGTCTTTATCGGCAGTGTGAAAACGAACGAATGCAACAGTTTTCTATAGGCCGGAGCAAATAGTGCCAGCCAGATGCAAGGTTTGGGAAACACATTCTGCCTCTTCATGGGAGAAGCTCACAATAAAGAGCACGGATGTAGCGAGAAATGAAGAATTGCTGCTGTTCCTGCAATCAGTATTATTCTGCCCTTTCTTGCAGAAGAGGTTTATATTACTGCTTCAAGTCAAGAACCTGGCCCTAGGCCGGGTGCAGTGGCTCACACCTGTCATCCCAGCACTTTGGGAGGCCGAGGTGAGCGGATCACCTGAGGTCAAGAGTTCAAGACCAGCCTGACCAACATGGTGAAACCCTGTTTCTGCTAAAAATACAAAAATTAGCCAGGCATGGTGGTGCATGCCTGTAATCGTAGCTGCTTGGGAGGCTGAGGCAGAAGAATTGCTTAAACCTGGGAGGCAGAGGTTGCAGTGAGCCAAGATGGTGCCACTGTACTCCAGCCTGGGTGACACAGCAAAACTTCACCTCAAAAACAAACAAACAAACAAACAAAAAAACAAAACCCTTGCCCAAAGCCCCACAGTTACTAAGCAGCTGGGCTGGAACTCGGGATCAACCCTGCCTGGCTGAAAGCCCTTACTCCTGCATAGCATGCACTGTTCATGCAGCTTCTGTAGGCCTGCGAGGTTCTGGAGAGTGATCTTCTGCAATAGAAGCAGAATTCCTTTTAGATTTGGGCCCATGTGGTGCTGTTTACCATTGGGAATATTCAGTTACCTCAAGAAATTGCAGAAGCTTCTTGGAAGGATATGGAATAATCTGGGGGAAATGGCTGATAGATGACATTAGGAAATCAAAGCCCAAAAACACAGAAGCAATTTAAAAACAGAATGTATCCTGTATGTCTGTAAATGCTTTCATACTTTTTGGTATTTGTAGGCTGTTTATAATTTTCAACACTAACTAAAAGTACTGTGTCTGAAACAACCTCTTACTCTGAAATGAAATGACTTAAAGATATATCTACTGAGAAGACTTTTTTTTTCTGCAGCAATTTATCGAAACAGCTGAGTATATTTTGAAGCTGTCCTTTGATTTTTCACAGGGAAGAGCTATTTTTCAAGCCCCGAAACCCAGGAGCAGCCATGGGGCAAATCCCATCAGTACACATGGAAACCAGACACAGTGAATGCATGCATTATCCTGAATGGATTGTTTGCACACCTGCCGCATGTAAAATCACCTGGAGGTGGGGGGTACTTAGGATTTCCCATGCCCAAATTGCCGCAGACAAGTTAAATGAGAATCCCTGGAGTGGGGAATGGAAAAATTGTGGCTTAAGCTCTCCAGGGGATTAGAGTGTGGCTCAGACCCCAAACCACTGCTTTATTTTATTATTTTTTCTTTTGCTTTACACTCAGGGGTACAAGGTGCAGGTTTGCTGTATTGGTAAACTCGTGTCACCGCGGTTTGCTGTACACATTATTTCATACGCAGGTATTTGTTCTCTGCTGATAACCCCGATACCATGAATCACGTCTGGCAATAATAAGCATTTCCTAATATTTGTACAATAACGATTTGGCAGTCTTGGAGGGCAGAAAGAGGGTGGGAAGATTTTAAAACAACATCATTGTTTTTAAAGGAACAATGTCCTACAACACCAAATTCTCTTGTATGTTTAGGAAAATTTAGGGTTGTTTTCTAAAACATGCTGACATCATGGGAAATAAGATGCGGAATTTGCACGAATGTTTAAGACAAAGTCTGAGGTTTCCAAGTGATGTTATGCTGGGGAGGCTGCGTGCTCCAAGCTCGCCATGCCTGGGGAGGACAGCACTTATCCGCCCTCAGTGGATCCTGTGAGGGGAGGAGCCCTGGGGAGCCCCGAGCCTCAGACTTTTAGCATGGAGGGTTCAAGATCTCATAGTTTGGGCTCATGGCGCAGGCAGGCCATGGGTCTCTGGCTCCCTATGACTTTTACTCTGCTTGCCAAGGGAAAATGTGACCCTCCAAAGCAAGAAACTCAAGGTTGTGGTTCACGCCAGCCGTGGCATCTGCCCAGAGCCTGAGAAGGAAGGAAGAGTGATTCTCCAGCTCCCTCATAAGGCTGGGTGACACAGGCCAGTCAAGAACTTTGCCCTAAGCCACAGTGGCTCACACCTGTAATCCCAGCACTTTGGGAGGCTGAGGTGGGTGGATCACCTGAGGTCAGCAGTTCAAGACCAGCCTGACCAACATGGTGAAACCCCATCTCTACTAAAAATACAAAAATTAGCCCCCAGTTAGTTGGTGTCTTCTTTTCCAACCAAGACACCCCAAATCTGGAGCTCCTCATGCAGGCAGCAGCAGACAAACGGAATGCAATCCGTTGTTGTCCCTGTTTTGTTTTGCTTGTTTCTCAGGGGTTCTTTCTATGGTAAAGGTATTGGCTCTCCATTGGTAGCATGAATAGAATATTTCCTGTTTACAGTAACTCTGTGTCATAATAAATAGTGACGGGATTTACAGTCGTGGTTTTCAGCTGCCAGTGGAGAGTTTGGGCACAGTCTGCCATCAGGCAGAAGAAGGCATTTGGGAAGTTTAGCTGAGGACAGACCCAGTGACGGTGATGGCCAGTGGCAGTCTGTCCTGGTCACCGGACCCCTGGGTGCTGGCCCTGCTGGGCACTCCCCACCCATCACTCCTGATGCTGCCAAGCCCTCTGGGTACAGTGGGCATATCCCCCAGGAGAGACGTGATGAACTTTGTCTGTGGAAATGCACAGATTCCTTGGACATGCCTGGGAGGTCAACCGTGAGAGTCCACTTGTTTCCTTCCCCTCATTAGGGCTCACAGTGTCAAGTCCACGCTCACCGGCAGCAGGGTGACAAAGTAAGTGACATCATCGCCCCGTTTCAGATGTGCGGACGTCTCGCTGGGTTCGGGATGATTGGAGACCACGCAGCCTTGTGCCACAAAGTCGAATTCCCAGGCCGGAGGGAGACATTTGATTGTCACGTTACGATCCTGTCATTGAGGGCAAAGTCAGTCTTGTTTCATTTTGGATTCTTTCTTAAGTTTATATCTTACTTATGTGGACTGTGAATTTCCAAGCGTGTAAGAATTGTTGGTTAGCTTTTATCGTTGACTTTGGCACAATTACATGCTCA